GATTTCAAAGAGCAGATGGAAAAGACAAAGCTAAGTATAAAAAATGGAATGTACAGAGAACTAAAATTAGAGAATAAAAAGAACTTGCTTAGTATTTATCAAGCTGAGAGAATTGAAAAACACATTTAAGCCTCAAGTCACAATACTGAAGGATACTATGGGAAATATGTTAGATGATCCAGGAAGCATCAAAAGAAGATGAAGAGAATACACACAGTCACTGTACCCAAAAAACCAACCAACCAACCAACAAACAAAAAACCCAAACTGACTGACATGGAAAATTTCAGAAAATACCGTATGTGCAGAAGCCAGTGGTAATGAAGAAGGAAGTTGAAGCTGCACTGAAGGGACTGTGAAAACCAACCAACCAACCAACCAACCAACAAAAACCCAAAAAACAACCCATCAAAAACAAACAAAAAAAAACCCCCGTAAGTCCCCAGGAATTGATGGAATACTGATTGACATGTTTAAAGTAACAGAGGCAGCCATGGATGCACTCATTAGTCTATACCAAAGAAATTTGAAGGACAGTTCTCTGGCTGATTAACTGGAAGAGGTTCATGGTTTTTCCCATTACTAAGAAAGGCAATTCAAAAGAATCTGGAAACTATTGAACAATATCATTAATATCTCTGCTAGCTAGCATCTCGATGGCACTCTTCGTCTTGATGGCGGTCACGTAAGGGAAGTTTTTGGGGTTGTGTTTGATATGTGTTACTGTTCTTACCCCTCACCCCTCCAAAAACAGCAGGTGGCCCTCATGCCTTTGACGAAGGGTGGAGCCCTGCTAAGGGTGGAGCTTTAAAATACTGTAGGGTGCTCAGGCCAAATTTATTAATCTTATGATGAATATTCTTTAAACTACACAGCAACCATTTGTCTATTTGCTGTACTGAACGACTTGGAGTTGCTACGATGCTGAACATTGTTCCATAGTCATGTCAAATACCATAATGGTTACCCATTATGTACAATGTTTGGATGAGCTTCCAGATTTTTTCATTCTGGGGAGCAGAAATGACATCCACTTCCTAAACTAAATGCCTCTGGATATTCAACAAACACTGTAAACTCTATAAATGTACAGAAATGATGATAGTTATAGAACAGAGTTCAGGTCTCTTGTACAAAGCTTACTCTCAGTCATTTTGACTTGACGACACTTAACCACTGCTAAACGAGACTATTACTGTTATATCTGGAGGAATACTCTTTCACTTTGCACATGACTCTTTTTCAATGTACTGTGTAAAGTAACCTGGGTTTGCTGTGATGCTGAACCTTGTGCCGTGGGGATATCAAATAGCAGAATGGTTTCCTAATGTGGACAGTGTTTGGTGGAACTCCCAGTTGTAAAACAGGTTTGGAAGCAGGAGGGGCATCCACTTTCTAAACCACATGCCTGTGGAAACTCTATGAACTTGGAGAAACGATGATAGTTATGGAAAGGCATTAGGTCTTTTTGTTCATAGAGTCACTATGAGTCATGCTTGATTCAATAGCAATCAACAACAACAACAAGCAAAATACTGTTGAAGATTGTTTAAAAAATGGCTAGAATTGTACATAGATAGGGAAGTGCCAGAAGTTCAAGCAGGATTTGGAAGAAGCTGTTTTTGCACCAGAGATATTATTGTTTGATGTCAGATGGCTGAAAGTAAAGAATTCCAGAAGAATGTCTATTTATGCTTTATTGACTATGTAAAGACATTTGATTGTGTGAATCACAGCAAATTATGGCTAACAATAAAAAGAATGGGAATCCTAGAACACTTAATTGTTCTCAAGAGGAATCTATGCCTAGACCAAAAGGTTGTTGTGTGAACAAAGCAAGGAAAAACTGTTGCTGTTAAGTGCCATCAAGTCCAGTACAACTCACAGTGACTCTATGAACAACACATTTGAACCTTGTCCTATCATGTGCCCTCCTCACACATCCAGACACACTAGAGCCCATTGCAGCAGTCACTGTGTCAATTCATCTGGTTGAGAGTCTTCTACTCCTTCACGGACCCTCTGCCTTTTCACCATGTCCCCTTTTAAGGAATAGTCCCTCCTAGCAACATGGCCAAAGTATGTAAGGTGAACCTTTATACTTTCTCCAACACATATTTGTATTTTCTTGACATTAAGATGCAATCAATATGGAGTAGAAATAATCCAAAGGAAGTAATACTAACATGGTTTAAAATTAAGGAAGACATGCATCAGGGTTGTAACTTCTCTTCATTACCTGTTTAATCTGTATGCTGAGCAATTATATGAGAAGCCGGACTCGATATGAAGAAGAATGTGGCATCTGGATTGGAGGGAGACTCATCAATAACCTGAGTTAGGTAATGATGCTCCCTTGCTTACTGAAAGTGAGAAGGATTTGAAGCACTTACTGCAGAAGATCAAAGGATACAGCTTTCAATATAGATTGCATCTCCATGTCAAGAAAACAAAAATTCTTACCATTGAGCTTAAAAACAACATCATGATAGATCTAGAAAATATTCAAATTTTCAACGATTTCCTCTTTCGTAATTCTACAATTAATACCCTTGGTACTAGCCGTCAGGAAATTAGGAGACACATTGCACTGGGAAAATGCACAGTCGGGGTCCTCTCCAAATTATTGAGAAGTCGTGATGTCAGTTTGAGGACATCTGATTCAGGCCATGGTCTTTTCAGTCACTAGTTATACATCTGATAGCTGGAAAATGAATAAGGAAAAAGAATTGATACCTTTGTTCTATGGTGTCGTAGAAGAGTGCTACATATCCCATGGATGAACAAAAGAACAAACAAGTATGTCTTGGAGAAACTGCAGCTAGAGTGTTCCTTGAATGCAAAGATGATAAAGTTTCGTCTCACATACTTCGAGCATATTTCTAGGAGAGGCTATTCCCTTGAGAAGGGCATCATCCTTGGAAAAGGTGGAGGGCCAACAAAAAAGACCCTCCACCAGATGGACTGACACAGTTACTGCTGCAGTGGGCTGGAGGGTGGCAGGACGTGTGAAGAAGGCACAGGATAGGAGAGGGTTCCAATCTGTTGTTCATAGAGTTGCTATGGGTCTTCCTCAGCTCAGTGGCACCTAAAAAAATCCTTCATGAGCCAAATACCATTGGCCAGTGAGCAGGAGATTTAATGCTTGATTATATTTTATACAAATTTTCAAACTATATTTTCAAACTAAACTAGTCTCTGCTTATTAATCTACTTATTTAGGGATTGATATAATTTGGTAATGTGAGTTTTGGATAATTGGAAATGTTTGTTTCTGAAGTCCACTGGACCTGAATTTGAACCCTACCTCTGTGAGTTTGGAAAATGACCAAAACTTAGATCTATGATCCCTCATATGTTTAGTCAAGAATAATATTAGTGTCATGTGGTTGCTCTGAATATAAAATGATTCTTAAGAGAATTAATGATGGAAATGGTTAATACGTTTGGCTGCTAACTAAAAGGTTGAAAGTTGGAATCCACCAATAATCTTCTAGAAAGAAAGGGCTGGCTCTCTACTTCCTACAAATAAGCCCTGTATAACCTTATAGGGAGCGCTAATGTTATAGTCCATAGGAGTTGCATTGTTTCCCCAAAGCCAGCACTTCTCTGATGATTCAAATGCACCAGCTGCTCCTCTGGAGAAGTATAGGCAATCTCCTGTGTGACTTGTTGTTGTTGCTTTATGTACTGTAGAGTCTGAACCAACCCATAGCTGACTCTCTGGCAGGTTTGCAGAGGCAGTTAATTGCACAGGAGGAGATTGTTCATCTTTCTCTCATAGAGCAGCTGGTAGATTTGAACCATGTGCCTTTGATTTGCAGTACAGCTTCTTGCCACTGGAGCTCCTGTGTGATTTTCAGCCTCTGGAGAGTGAGCTGAGGAAGTTCTGACTAAGTGACAATGAGTTTGGAGAATTAAGTGTAAATATAGTTCCTGATACTGTGCCTGACACATACAGGTGCTGAAAAATAAAGATACTTTTTCACCTTTTTTCCTTTTTTGTGTCTTTTGGGGTTTTCCCCATGAGTGGAAATAGCCAATAGGTTCAGTTAATCGAGAGTTTATCATTGTTAATAAGCTGAATTCATGAGTCAAATGTTTCTGTGACTAATAAATGGGCTGTGAATTGAGTGAGAATTGACAAAAGCAAATGTGTGAGAAAAAAATACATCAGCCTGTACGTTTGTTTGGCTTAAGTGAGCCTCTACAATGAAAGACTTTCTCAGTTTGCCCCAATATTGTCTAGACTGCTTTTCAGAAACCCTTGCAAATCCCAGAACATCCACCTCGTGATCGGTTGTTCTTTAGAAGATAAAGAGGCTTTCAGTCTGATTACATTATTTTAGAGCCATTTTACTCATTTTGTAGGCCAGCGGCTTTTTCTTATTTTTACAGTTATCATTCTCAATTGAAATAATATTTTTCTAATGACAAGTCGATATTTCAGTTCTGAAAATATATAACTGTGAAGTAGTATCTGTTGTTTTGCTTGTTTTGTTTTCTTTTTGAAGGTTTTATGCTAGGATAGCATAAAGGTACCAGTTTATATTATTCTGTATTTTCAGAATGCCTAGCATAATGAAATTATATAGAAATTGTCAGCACTAAGAAAAGATTGATTTAGATTTAGCGTCTCTTAAAACTGTGGTATTCCACTCCTGTGAACTGAAACTGAATCAAATGAGTTATAAAAGTGGAAATCAGTACTTTGCTTTGAGGGAATTTCAGAGGAAATTACATTCTATTCGGTATATTTAAAAGATGCATATTATGAATTTTTTTTAAATTACTAAAATATTCTGCTCATTTTTAAATGGACATTTCCAAAAGAATTGTTTTCTGCTGACAATTGCATATGACTTTATGGGCTTCACTTTCACATTTGTCATTTTTAGACTTCCTAAGTGAGTGAGAGAGTGTGTGTGTGTGTGTGTGTGTGTGTGTGTGTGTGAAGAGAGTGACTCATTTTCCTGTTCTTTCTCCTGCCCTTAGATGCTCCTGTCACTATTATCCTTGATTTGATAGTGGCATCTCTTTGTGGGTCTCACATACACAGACCAGCTCCCAGGAGATTGGCAGTCGGGTGAGAGGCTACCAACACCATGTTCTGCACGAAACTGAAGGATCTCAAGATCACAGGAGAGTGTCCTTTCTCCTTACTGACTCCGGGTCAGGTTCCAAAAGAACTAGCTGAGGATGCTGCTGGAGGCACAGAGAGCAGCAAGGCAGCTTCCCCCGTCTGCCAGGATGTTCCTGAGAAAAATGTCCAAGGAGATCTTCCTCAAAGAAAGACCAGTCGGAGCCGAGTCTATCTTCACACTTTGGCCGAGAGTATTTGCAAACTGATTTTCCCGGAGGTGAGTTCTTGCCCTTTAGAGATTTTTTTTTTTGACATTTTGAAACTGTGAAAGAATATTGTGCAAAATGAGAGCATAAACAGTTGCTTTCTCACTTCAAAGACTATAATGAATATAGGATATTTTCTTGAAACATAGAAAAATATTTATTTAAAACACTCGTATACTTAAATTGTACTTAAAATGTTTAAAATTTATATTCTTTCAAAGGAATATTCTTAGGAGCCTGATAGCTTTGAACATCTGCTCAGTCTTCCTGAGCCTTAATGTCCTCATCTGCAAAATGGCTATAATAAGAATACTTACCCTCTGGTGCTTCAATGACTATTTTGTTGAATCATACAGCATGGTTTTTAGCATACCATAACTACTCAGAAAATCTTAACTAAACTGAATGTCATTTTAACTTAATTTAAAATTAAATTTCCCCCTTTAATACTGAAGGGTATCATGTGTGCTTTTTGCTCATGTGCAGAAATGTGAAAATATCCCTTTTTCTGAAATTCTGAATCCTAAGTCTCTGTTTGAACATGAGTTGGCTTGCTCTGTGGGGTCAGAGTCCTGATACAGCTCCGGACACCATGTGTTAAGTTTTAGACACCGTCCGTCAGTCTACAGTAAAGGAAACTTTGTAGACCCAGTATTAACCTTGAATAGGCCATGTATTTTATTACCATAATCAGTTCTCATGGTAGCAGCAACCAAAAAATGAAATAACATGTTATGTTGGGAAAAATCTGCTGACAAGGACCTTTTCAAATTGCTAAAGAGCAAAGATGTCTGTTTAAAGACTAAAGTGCACTTGATCCAAACTATACATAACTTTTTTTAGTTCCTTCCTGTGCACCTGAAAGTTGGACGGTGACTAAGAAAGACTGAAGAAGAATCGATCCTTTGAAATGTGGCATAAGAGAAGAGTACTGAAGATCCTGTGGACTGTCAAAAGAATAAACAAGTCTGTCTTGGAAAAAAATGCAAGCAGGCTCCTCTTTTGAGGCAAGGATAAGGAAACTTTGTCACACATACTTGGGGCAGCCCTTGGAGAAAGACATCATGTTGGAAAGGTCAGAAAATTGAGAGAGAGATGCCAATGAGATGAACTGGCATGGTGTCTGCAACGGTGGATTGAGCGTGGGTGAATTGTGAGTATGGAGTACAATAGGACAAGGTACTGCTCTGTTGTTCACAGGGTCGTTAGGAGTCAGAGTCAACTTGACAGTGTCAAGCAATAAAAGCAATGGGCCTTATATATTAACAACCTGCAGAGTTCCCTGTATGGGCTAAAGAAAAGGACAGTTGAGAGTGCTCATGACATCTTCCTCTCTGTGTCAATATTTACTCAAACCAACACAATCTCACTGCCATCAAATTGGTTCTGACTCATTACATTCCAGGTTTCTGAGGCTTTAAATCTAAGCATGAAGAGGCTGCTCCTATTTCTTTCTTGGAACTGTTGGTGGATTCAAATGAATGGCCTTGGGTTTAGCAACACAACTCACTAATTTCTCTGCCACCAGCCAAGTTCAACTTGCTAGATAAAGTCAGATTCTGGCTATAATAGCATACTGACAATTTTTCCTTTATTTAATACAAGTCCTCTGTTCTCTGTATAGCACTGAACAGATAGATCTGCTGTGAACAAGACATCTTTCACCTTCAAGAAGTAGAAGGAAATATAAGTGACTTGACCAAAATCATACAGCTCTGATAGAACAATATTTGCTGTAAGCAATATGAACTCGAACAACTAACAAGGAACTTTACGCTGAAGCTAACAGGATAAAATATGCATTAGGATAAAGAGAGAGTTTTGAAGGAGCTTATTCTAGTAGAAGATACTAGCACAGTAGTGCTTTAGATAATGGCTTTGAAATGGAGATACTTAATTATTGTCACTCCAATTGCTAGAGAGCCAGCTTTGGCTGGGAATCAGTTTATATAGCTTTTTTTGGATAGTTCCTTTGTAGCACAGTCTGGGGAACAGTTGGCTGTCTCATTTGCAGGCATAGGGCGAGTGCAGAGAGGAGCAGATGGTGATGATGGGGAAGCCGGATCACTCTTGCTGAGGCCTGTCATTATCATGCTGACTTCACTGCTTGGTTTGGGAAATGTTGAATTCCTGCCGTAGGCATCATGCACGTTTTGAAATCTCTGTTAAACCATTTCTAGTGCTAAATATAAAGTATGCTCACAGTCTAATGGATAAAGAGTTGAGCTGCTATCCTGAAGATGGTACCTCATTGACAGTGTGAATCCACAAATGACCCCACAGAGGGAGGACAGGTAGTGTCTTAGCCTCCAGAAACTCACTCAAAGATCAGCTGCGAGTAGATTTTGCCTCCATAGCACTGAGTGAACACTGACTATTAAATGTGGTTTGTTTATGGGCTCATTAAAATAATTATCAAGGTTTGACCACAGTCTCATGTCACGAAGAAGTCAAGGCCCTGAGAATTCTAGGAGGTGGAGGACTATTTGGTGTTAGTGACTAGAAGTTTTATTTCTAGCTGAGACAAGGAATAACATCAAGTTGGATATATTCAATCTCTGGTACCAAAACTTTTACTCATTATTGATCTACAGGGTATTTTTTTCTCTTTAACTTATTCTTTTCTCAGCTAACTTGCTATTAGTTTCAGTGTTAACAAGCCACAAAGAGAGATACACGACAGCATTTGACAATGCCATATAGTTTTTTAAACGCCATAATTGTTTTCTTAGAGAAAAAATGCTGAATATATTATCATCTACTAACTTAGTAGTTGAAGATGTCATTCCAGAGTGATGGAACATTAAATATTAGAAGGAACTTACTGATTACTTCTCAAGTAATTATTTGAGAATCTGGACTCTATGAAGAGGAAGAAGCTGAACTCCATAAAGAGGAATATGGTATAAGAATTGGAGGGAGACTCATCAATAATCTGCATTATGCAGATGACACAATCTTGCTTGCTGAAAATGAGGAGGACTTTAAGCACTTGTTGCAGAAGATCAAGAAATGGAGCCTTCTGTATGAAATCTCAATGTCAAGAAAACAAAGATTTTTACCACTGGACCAGTAGACGGCATCATGATGGGTGGAGAGGAAATTGAAACTGTCAACAGCTTCATTTTGCTCGAATCCACAATTGACAGCCTTGGTGCCAGCAGTCAAGAAATAAGAAGATGCATTTGCACTGGGAATATCTGCAGTTAGAGACCTTTCTAAATCATTGACAAGTAGTGATGTCAGTTTGAGGAATACGTTTTTCCAATCTGACAGAAATAAGAACAATTATGAGAATACTATAAACTACTAGATACCATCAAAGTAAATTAACTTGATAAATTTTTAGCAATGGAGTGTTAACAATGATGTAAGAAGAAATAGAAGTATGAATATGACACTATATGAACTGAGTTTGATGTGCTTCTTATTCAAGCCATAGTCTCCGATTACTAGCAATGTATCTGAGAACTGAATAGTGAATAACAATGTCAGAAGAATTATTGATGCCTTTGAGCCGTGGTGTTAGAGAAGAGCACTGAACATCCCATGAATGGCCAAGAGAATGAACAGATATGTCTTGGAGAAGGTGCAGCCAGAGTGCTTTTTTGGAGGCAAGAACAATTAGGCTTCATCTCACACACTTTGTTCATGTTGCTAGGAAGGACTATTCCTTGGAGAAGGACATGATGCAGGGAAGGGTAGAGGGTTAGCAAGGAGGACATGATGCAGGGAAGGGTAGAGGGCTGGCAAGGGAGAGGAAGCCCCTCGACCAGGTGGATTGACATGGTGAGTGCTGCAATATGCTCTGTTTGTCAGGAACTGTGACGATGGCACTGGATAGAATAGGCTTCAGAGCTTTTCTTCATAGGTTTGCTATGAGTCGTACTCAACTCAGGAGCACCTAACAACAATTGATCACTTAATCCAGACTATTCATTTTAAAAAAAAAAATGAGGCAGAAAATTTGATCACTTGTTTAAGGTGTAACAGATAATTCTGGAGCTGGAAAATAAATCTCTAATTAATAATTCATTGTTTTTTCTGCAACAGTATTATTTAATATTTTTTTCCTTTATATTTCTTCTAAAAAATCCTATAAGTTCATCAGGATTAATGTTTATAAGGAGGTGTTCTGACGCCACAGTACAGAGCAGAGCATGTTGTAAGGCTAACTAAAAGTTCATTGGTTCAGTCCACCAGGAAGAAAAGACGGGCAATCTCCTCCCATGAAAACTTGTGTGTTGATGTGTGCCATTGAGTCAGAACAGACTCATAGCTGACCTTCCAGTGTGTTTTCAGAGGCAGCTAATGACACAGAAAGAGGTTGTCTTCCTCTCAAGGAATGTCTGTGGGTCCAATCTGCTTACCTTTGGGTTGGCAGTGTAGCTTCTCACCTCTGGGCCACCAGAGCTCCCTAATTAAGATTTAGAGCCTCAGATACTTCAGAAATGTAGAGTCACTCTGAATTGGATTTGACTTCACAATCCTGGTTCATGTCTTTAAAGAGTTTGTAGTGATATTATGAAATGTTGTTACTATTGTTCAGTACTGTTGAGTTAGAACCAGCCTGTGTGTGTGTAGCTGACCCTCTGGCAGGTTTTCAGAAGCTGTTAATCTCATGGGAGGAGACTGGCCATCCTTCTCTTGCGGAGTAGCTGGTGGATTCGAACCATGAGCATTCATGATTGCATCTTAGGTTCTTACCACTAGGCCACCATAAGTGATAGCATATGAGAAGCCACTCAGTAGCAGCCCTCCAGTGGTTGATTGTGTAACCTAAAGCCCCAAAAGGAGCTGTGGCAGCTCGTCTTAAAACTTAGATTCTGCTCCTGGCTTTACTGTGGATTTGTCTCATCTCAGAGTCTGGTTGCAAGGTATATCACAGGTACTAGAGCACCAATAGTAAGGAACTGAATTACATGAAGAAGAACAAACATTGACAGAAGATTCAAAATACAGCCTTCTATATGGACTGCTAGGAGTAAAAACCAGTTTTGTCCTCGAGAGA